CAGAATTAAGTAAAATTAGGAATTGTAACATTGGAAACAAATATTTTCTGTTTTAGACCAAAATTTTCTTGGTCGAGTCAAAGTTATCCTAACTTACAGTACCCATAATTCGACGGAGCAATTAACTACAGAGATTACATTCTAAATTCTTTATCCTGAAGACCTTTACGACCGACAGTCGATCATGTCACTGAAGACTTCAAGAGATCGCCTGCCACAACAAGTGGAACGAAAAAAATTAAGCTCGATAGCGTTTAATTTCTTCTTGAAAGCATCATGACGTTGATTTGCTAATAACGAGAGAAAAATCGTCTGCTAGTCAAGTTCTCAACGCATACTAGTCTTATATCTAGAAATCAACGCACAGATGATGGACAGCGAAAAGTTGGAACATCAGATAAAGAGCGTCACCGAAGATCTTTTCAATGTGTTAAGGAAGTCATGACCTCCACAGCTGCAACTTACTGCGAATAGAAAATTCCCTTTACCATAGATTAAACCCCGAAGTCATACTTTTCATTGTATGTCGAACGCGAAAAAAGGAGGACTGACCTGGCGACGCTGATTCTAGAGACCATCCGTGAAGAACTCCATAACCACTCCGACGATATTCTTCGAGATCTTGAGCCAGTCGAAACGGATAAATGTATCATTTCCCAGTGAGAAGACCCAATAACATTCATACTTTATCTGTCTGAGAAACCCTTGATCAACAGCAGAAGAATCGAAAAGATGATCCTGTGCTTCGATGAAGACTAGATTTATTTTGCACCGGATATCAATTGTCTAGGTTCTGCTGGCAATCTATCGGTGCTGTCAAAGTGCATTTTCTCATTTCTTTTGTTGTTGATTAGTGGGGACCTCTCGGCCGGAAGGAATTTAGACGCTGTTGGTCCATAACTACAAGTCAATTAGTGTAAATGGTTCAATTGCAGGAACTGGAGACGAGGCTACTGACAAAATCCGTCGAGTAGATCCCAACCAGCTGCTGTTTTCCACGACCATTATATTGCACTCTCTGCCGGACACAGTCTCCTAGTGACTCCAGAAAATTTATCTGATTAGTACCGATCTTCATGGAACACAAAGTCCTAGAGGACTCCAAATGTCAACACTAATCTGACCTACGGTGTCACTTTCAAGATCCGTCTGCAGTTGTTTATCTCTCTGCTCTCGATAAACAGGAAACTAAACTGATCCTCCTTACAGGTAGGAAAAGTCGCTTTGTAGAAATCTTCCAAGTGCCATTGCTGTTCCTGTGTCCGTCATTACCGATTCCGTAAAATTACAAAATCTATTTCTGCATCTCAGTTTAGTAATTAAGGCCTTCACTTTATTGAACATTCGTTTCCATAATGCTGACAAATTCCGAAAGAAGCTGAATAAGAGTATAATTGTAACGTTGAGAACACCACTAGCGTAAAGAGAACGTCGTTAACCGTTCTCATCCAGTGCACCCTCCAGATACAGTCCGACTCTTTAGACATTTCTGTCAAATTCCTTGTTCTGTAGTGCCGTAGTCATGACCCAATCCTTGCACAAGACCCTATACAGGATTAACGCTGTTATTGACTTTACAGAAACAAACTCGTTCATTTCAAAACTGCTGAGTTATCACTAACTCTTCGTCTAGCATACATACCTTTCATGAATCAACGTTGAAATGCCGATGAATTGCGACTGTCAGCTCTCTCTTCGACATCCATGAGAAATCCACAACCCTCGACGCACAACAGGACACATTTTGTCAACGGAGATAGTCGATTTTTGCTGGAAATAAATTTGATGAACTCGACAAGTCCTGCAAAAGTAGCCAAAGTGTAGGCTGCTTTTGCAGGACTGAAAGTGTAGGCTACTAATGGATAATCGACTCTGCAACTACTACTCGCTACTAGGCATCTAGTTCATAGTGAAGCTGCCACCAATGTCCTCATTATCGCTATCGCTATTGCGGACCCAGAATCTAACAAGCCAAACAAGAGCAAGTTAGGAATAGACCAGACAACGATTGACGCTTTGCTAACGCTCGATCAATCCACCGATCTTTTGAGGCTACTGCCTAAGGTCTAATACAGGAGGGAACGTAAAATGATGCACTTTTACCGACGATTCCGACAGAAGTTCAAAATTTTTACTGTTTCGTCAAAAACTAAACAGTAAAAATTACAGTAACATTGGCTCTCCTACTTATTGTTATTACGTGGACCATAGATAGCATTTTAACTATGGTGTTCAGATTACATAAAAAATGTGATATATACTATTTATTACTCGAATTATATATTAACTCATCAAATTGATCTAGCCCTACATACAATCGTATGATCGTATAATCGTTATTCCAGTACTAAAGTACATACTTAACTTTAATCTATTGATTAAAGTTAAGTTATAAAGTTATATATAAAGTTATAAAGTTATATATGTTAACTTTGATCTATTTCGAAATATTGTTCTTTAAACAAAAATCCTTATTCGTCTTTTTGGTTTTTTATTTTTACTGCTGATGTTGTGTAAGCAAAAGTAGAAAAATACGTCAACTGATACAATACAGAAACATTCTTCAGTACCATTTTTTTCAGACTGATGACTGACAGATGGCGTACATACGACTTACTGTATTCCAATTCCGATGTGTAAATATACTGAATGTATAATGAAGTCCAGTACGTAGGTACACAGGCTGCTGTAGGATTTCTGAGACCCTAGACAAAATTTATTTTTGACGCTCATAAAAAGAGCAATGGAGATCGAGGATAGATTTATTTAGATCTATAACAATATGAACATTTTTTATACAGAAATAGACAATTATATATATAATAAAATAATAAAAATATGTATGATAGTTATACAATGAATTGGAAAATTCAATAGGTGTACAGAAATTTACCGACAAGACTGGTCTCCTACTTTTAGTACAGTTGAATTAATCAATTACAGAAAATAAGTCCAATTCTGCAGAAAAATATCTTTCAACAGACAAGATCAAAAGTGAATAAAGTCTCTCATGGCACACTTGTTTGGAGATAGTTCTTCGTAAGTTCTAACTCTAAAAATGATCATTCTGCAGATGCAACAGATATCGATACAATTATATTTTCAATAATTTCCAATTTGATGATTTAAATGCCAAAATATATACTAATACAAATTTGCAAGATCCCGGGCTTCACATTTTTTGTCTATATGTAGGGCAGCTTCTGGATTTATCTTTTTTATTATTTTCATACCGAGTGTGATCAGTTATCTGGAAAAAAATGATTATCCGAAATTGTCCTACCCTGATTATTTTGAAATTTTGGATAATATCCACTCTGCTGTATTTCACATATACTAAACAATTTCTAAAATTCTGTTTAGAAGCTCATGTTAAAAATTATTATTATCTAATTAAAATGAGAAATTTAAGTTATAGAAGAGGAATATAATGATCTGGTCATTGAAAAAATTCAGTTTAAGTAAAAAACAAAAAAGCAACCAATTACTGTATAAAATTTTTGATAAAAGTAATTGCTTTCTCGAACAACTTACTAAAAACGCACTTAATCTAAGAGTGCAGAAACCTGGATTATTTCCAAAACACATGGTTAAATATTTATAACCAGAAAAATCTGGAAAATATTTTAAAATTTTATAGGATTTTTTTTTAAATCAAAAATTATGGAATCTAATAATATCTGCATTTTATTATTATTATTCTTATTTTATAGAATAATTTGAATTTACATGTAGATGTGGATAAGGTTTCAGAAAATTATATTTTGTTTCAGTATTAAAACAAACTATTCTTCATTTTAAAAAATTACTGTAAATTAAATTAAAAATTAAAACTAAATGGGAAATTAAAAGTTTGCTTTTAATTTTTTAATTTAATTTAAAATATATTTTTTTGAAATTATGAATTAATACGATGCAAATAATCTATAAAAATTTATATAGAAATGTTAATGTAAAGAACATATCACTTTTTAATTAACTAACTATATTCCTTTGAAATCAATTATTATTTCCTAACTTGTAAAATGTCTATCATTAGAAAATGATCCTAATAGCATTTGTGATAAGAATTTATCAAATGAAACCCATTAATTCTAAGAAGAAATAGAAATAAGATTTTTCCAAGTATAATGCATCATCTATATGTAGATGCAACGCACTATGGAAGATGTCTTTAATAAGTCCAAACCAGTTCGACTTGTTCAATGATAAGAAAGATAAGGCAGTCCTGTCAGGAGGAAAAAAGAAAGTTATTAGTCAGCTTTGGAATTCGTCACATAATCGGAAAACCTCATTACATTTTGATCAAAAATTAATGAAGATTGTTTATCAACAACTTAAAAATTTTTCTCTTATCAATAAATAATTCAAAAAAATAAAATAATTTCTAATCGTCATAACATTTATTATCGTTTCCGCACGGACTTATTAAAACAACGGGGAAAAAATAATTATATATATATACAGTAATTAATATAACCAATTTTTTATTATTTAAATTCTTAACAAAGAAACGAAACGGATCGATCATTTGAAAAATATAAGTAACTTTAAATGGTAATGAGAATGAAAATGATTATTACGAAACAGATTAAGAGCCATGCAATATGTTAAATGTATATATATAAAAGTATTTATGGAAATCGAACGAATAATCTAATTATAAATATTTCGATCGTCACCCCTGCTGATTCACCAAACCAGATATGCACCAAAAATAGTCAGACATTAACGACAGATGGTATTATCCTATTAGTCATTATTGAAAAGCATTCGGGAAGCAAATAAATATGATGATATTTATATATTTTAAAACAGTTCTATAGGAGGAAAAAAACACCATATATTTAAAGCAGAATTTTATATTTTTACGCTCTTTAATATATATTTTCTTATACCGTAAAAATTTTTTAAAATGAAGAAAAATTAAAGAAAAACAACAAAATTCATCTTTCTTTTTTAAAATAAGTGTATTAAATACGTCTAGCTTCTTTTCTGAAGTGATAAAATGGCGGCTGAATTTCGAAGTGAAGTATTCACGGCCATCACAATGAGTCCAGTGACTCACGTTACGACCTTAATATCGATTAGTTTGGAGCATCCACCTAAGTTGATGTACGTTACGTGCCAACAGTTTTCTATTAATAATGGCTTACGCTCCATTCAAAATTTAAGTGAAATATATTACGCACAATTACCGAATACTTCTATTATTTCTGCAAATTTGATAAACTTGATTTATTAACATTATGTTGTTTCATATTAAAAATACACCAGAGATGAGAAAAAAAAAATTATTCCAATAATAGAAAATTTTGGATTAAAAATCTTTGACAAAGAAGATCTCTAACAAAGAGGAAGAAAAATATTTAACGCTAACGCTCCGAAGATATTCCGAAGCGTTAAATATTTAAATGCGCTTATTCCAAGTAAACGAGAGATATGTTTACGCTGTATTAATTAAAATACTGTATATTTAATTAATTAGGAACGTTTACTTCTGCAGAATGTGAAAGTTTAGATTAATATTTTTCTACTCCCCGAAAGCGGGAGTGGGCCCCAAACGAAACCATTACAGCTTCTGGGTAGGTAACATCGATTTCCCATTTTTCCTTTTTATCTTTTCACTCTAACACCTTAACAATGTAAAAGTTTCGAATTAATAATGAAAAGTTTGAATAAAAAAAAATTTATATAGGTTATATACATATTTAATAAATAAATTTATGTAAAGATGAATTGAAAAAGTTAGGTATATTTTAATTTTTAAGAAAAATAAATTTTAAAAATTCTTGCGTCACTTAAAAAAAAAAAGTCGTAAATGTTTACATCTTACCTTAGTAGACAACTCGAGTTTGAAGTTTTATCTTCGAGTAACCGAAGAGAAAAATCCTAGTATAGAATGTTGGAAGGAACCGATTTTAACGTCACACTACAGTCGGAGTCTCACGCTATACGTCAGCTTCAGGAGACAGGACGGTTCATTTTATAGGAGGTAGGAGAGAAAATTAAAGGAGACGAAACGTCACGTTCAATCTACTGTTTCGCTCGCACACACCAGAAAATATTGCGCTTTTAATAAAATAAATATATATATTTTTTTCCACCTTTATATGCGCATTTATAACAAATAAAGCGATTAGTATTATTCAAATAGATGGGTCAACGGATTTTTCTCTGATTCATCCCATCGAACCGATTCTAGGAAGATAACTTCGCCATTATGTTTCCAGATAAACGATAAATTTCACCTCTTTTTTTTTTTTTAAATTTCTTGAGCTCATTTAATACTTTTTACCGTGATCGCAAAGAATGAAGAGTATCGTGGATAGTAAATCATATTTATGGAATCTGCAGGATTATCATATAATCGATTTATCGAGAAAATTGAATTACACGCGAGATGATCATATACAATCATACTTAATCGAGAGAATGGAAATTTATTAAACTTATCTTTAATATAATAAATGTTTCGTTGGTTTAATTGAAGTTAAAAAGAAAATAATGTAGTGTATACGTTTCCGTAAAAGAGGAAATATTTAGATTTCGTTTCGTCTTCGTCAGTCTTCCATTGAAACGAACAGGAAGAATAGGGTGATTGGGGAAAAAAGGAACAACAAGCAGACCGAAACGTTCCTCCGTAACTAAGAATGATTTCCTTGTCACGTCGTCAGACGATGTCATTAATGATCCGTGAGAAAAAAAAGAAAAGGCAAATCTGTGAGAATTATAACCAAAATATAACTTAAACAAATAAAAATATCACATTTTGTTTATTTTCGTTCATTTTTTTTTTCTTTTTTTAGAAAGTCCAACTATTTAAGATTTAATTTAATTAGAAAAACGAATATTTTTTAATTTTAGGAAAAGTCTTGAATACGAATATTTTCCGGTGAATAATTTAAGAAGGAAGATCGTTAATGGTATTAAAATGCTATCATTTTATTGATGCTGTTACACTTTAATTGACATACTGTATAAATGCATTTAAATCAAGCTACTTCCTATCAGTTTTTTTTTCTTTTGTTTTGGTTATAAGTAGCTTGGGAGTAATTGAATCGTTAATTAAACTTAATTACATTACAAATTAATGTTGTGATGTTCGTATTTTTCATTTTAACGCTTCTACATTACATTTATACCCAAATTTTTATTAAAAAAANTTTCAAAGTTTTCCGAACCTTGTTAAACATATGTAACATTTCTCAATGGTTTGATTCTTTTAAAAATATTAAAATATACGTATTATACTCTGTAACACTACTAAACTAGAGCCTTCCGATGCACTATTTGAGCGAAAAAAAAAATTGTTAAGGAAAAGTTTTCTGTTAGCGAACCCTTTGTTAAATATTTCGAATGTCATCACTGAGGGTATGTCCACAAAATAGAATAGCCATACGTTTTTGTGAATAGTCAAGGCCATTGCCCGAATCAGTGCAAATGTTTGCAACAATCTCAAGGCAGTACTGCCAGATGCAAGGAAATGAAATTTGTTCATTCGAAAAATTACGAATAGGACATAATTCCATATACACTATACAGTACAGTATTATTATCCAGATGATGATTGCTGATCTAAACTAAATTCATAGACCGTTGATAGTTTGGGGGTTGTCTTATAGGACAGATATATG